GAGGGAGGGAGGGAGGGAAGGAAGGAAGGAAGGAAGGAAGGAAGGAAGGAAGGAAGGAAGGAAGGAAGGAAGGAAGGAAGGAAGGGTGACCTCTGTGAACTAAGGCACAATTCTGCAATCCCGAACCCAGAGGAACACAATTTCAACTCCCAACACACAAGGACACTTTGGATCAGCAGCCCCACTTTTAGCTATGTGGGGTAAAACCATGAGCTTGCAAGGGGCTCATGGCCCTGAAGATCAACCTTAGCTTTAGCTGGAAACTCCCCCTACCCCTTTGAAAAAGTGCTAGGAAAATATCCCCTCTCCTTTCTGCCTTCCCAATCATGCTCATGGCTGCCCTCACCATAGCTGTTCCCAGAAGCAGTAGCTCACACCAGCAGGCCCAGGTCGCCAAGCTCCAGAACCCAAGTCTTGCTTTGGGCTTTTGTAAGCTTCCTATGGCATCTGTCTATGAGGTCCTGGAACCACCTTGGGCACTGCTAAGACATGGACTGTCTCAGGGGTCTGTAAAGATAGAAGGCCAATATGTATCTCTTATACCTTTTCCTTTGCCACCTACAGTGCGACCTTTAGAGCTTTGTGACAAGTGATGTCAGAAGCATGAACACAGAAGCAGGAGTGAGAAGTCAGCTGTCTCGGCTTCAGGGAGTCACGGAAGAAAAAGGCAATTGCAAAGCCGTGGCACTCTTCTGCTGAAGTTCCATTTTCCAAAATAAGTGTGTGTGCCTCTGTGAGCATGTGCACTGCACGAGAATGGGTGTGTGGTGTGCATGTGCTCACACATGCATGTGCAAGTCAGAGGCTGACATCAGGATGTCTTCCTCAATCACGTCTCCACCTTATTTCTTGAGACAGGGTCTCTCACTGAATCTTCTTTTGGCTATACTGGCTGGCCAACAAGGCCTTGGGATCCTCTTATTTCTACCCCCAAGTGCTGAGGCTACACACCCATGCCACCAAGCCTGGCTTTTACAAGCGTGTTGGGAATCTGAATTCAGGTCCTCAGGCTTGCACACCCACTGAGTCATGTCCACAGGCCCCAGGAAAGTGGCTTTTATTGTTTGTTTGTTTACAAAAATACAAGTCAGGTGTTGTGGTCCACGTCTTTAATCCCAGCTTGGGAGGAGGTAGAAGCAAGTGGATCTCTGAGTTTGAGGCCAGCCTGGTTTACAGAGTGAGTTCCAGAACAACCAGGGCTACAAGGAAAACCCTGTCTAACAATCAACAAACAAACAAACAAAAACTTCACACAAACACGGAGTGACAAATTGTTGGTGCTCTTAAAGAAATAATACTGCCGGGTGGCGGCGGCGCACGCCTTTAATCCCAGCACTCGGGAGGCAGAGCCAGGTGGATCTCTGTGAGTTCAAGGCCAGCCTGGTCTACAGAACGAGATCCAGGACAGGCACCAAAACTACACAGAGAAATCCTGTCTCGAAAAACCAAAAAAAAAAAAAAATTATAATTTCTAATATGATAAGTATCAAGAGCTATGGCCACATGCAGCAGAAGCTTTTTGGGGTCCTCAATGGCTCTAACAATGGAACACAATCCAGAGAGGCCAGGTTTGGGAACTGTTTGGAGAAAGTGTCCTGGCCTTGACTGCTGATGGGATAAAGGGTGGAGCCTGGCCAACAGGCAGCTTATCCGGAGTCAGGTGATGGTCTGGGAGACCTGGAGGGGACATTAAGTGACCCTGGGCCATGGACCTGGAATTGATCTGGCAGCCTGGAAAGGGGATCTGCAGCAAGGCCAAGGGGATTGTTGGGGCCAAAGGGAGGCCATATGTGTGAAGAGCAGGGCCTGCGCTCCAGGGCTCACCCACAAAGGGAAGAGGGGATGCAGGACTCAGTGTCACAGACAGATGCGGTGAGGTAGGGGAATGTATGCTGCATGTGGCACATGACTGCAGCTGCAGGGACTTGCTAATGAGCAGAGCACATTCTGGCTCCAGAAAGTTCTACAGTACACTCCCAGTTCTTCCGGCAGCCCAGCGGGTTTCATTCATTCCGATTCTCACAGTGGGAGGCCCTTTGGTCCCTGAGGTCACCTCTGCCCCTTGCCATCTTCGGAGCACAACACAAACAGCTTTCACTTCGGCCCTGGCTCTGAGACTCTGGACAAGCAACTGTACATCCTATCCTTCACCATGGCCATGAAGCTGGTGAGCACGGCTCAGGGGACAGTGGACGAATGCTCTCAAGGCCCAGCAGTGTGGCCTACAGAAGGGCCCGGCCTGGGGCTTTGGCCTGGAGCTAGACACAGCTAGAGATGTTTGTACCTGCCTCAGCTGCCCATTATTATCAAAGTATTAGTGTCACAGCAGAAACATGGCCTTCTCAAGGTCACACTCCCAAGCCCAGTTTTCTTAAGAGATACAGAAGCAGTGATGGAGTGAGACCCCTCTCTCCTGTCCCCACCCCATGCCCAATATCCCAACAGGTCTCAGTGGGATTGGAACATTCCTGGGAGCAGGGGATATCCAGCAACACCCATGCCTACGGCCATCTACTCTTCCAGCAGTCACGTCTTTGAATCCATCCCATAGTCCCGGCGCCAGGCCAATTGCTATCTGCCCACAGCAAGGCTTGGCCCCAAAACTGGTTTCTATCAGTGTCTGTAGACTGATTCTTGGTCTCTCCCATCTGGCTGGACAATGAGAATCACGACCAGGGATGGGCATTGGAA